TGATTATAGTAATAAGAACTATAGTAAATCATTCCTAAATGTGAATCTAACTGATTTCTACGATGCACAAAGATACGAGATACTCATATGAAAAAGGGAACCATAAATAAAATAGAATGAGAATTGAAAAGAGTATGAATAACGCTAATAAGTATTAATTTTATGTTGCATCTTTGAAGGAATAATGTTCATAATATTGGTCGTGTCATTCGTGGTGAAAATATCACGGATTAAATTGGCTTGCCTGAAATTGTATAGTTCCATGCATGCCGCAATAAAGCCGTAATCGTAGCGTTTGGCGAGAATAAGCGACGACGGTAAGAAAATTTCGCATTACCTTAGCTAGTTTGCTCACATCGTTGTTTAACCCTTGGACCCTAAAGTATGTCCTACTTCTCTAAAGCGCGACGTTTACGCTCTAATATTTCTGGTAGAGTTCAAAAGTCTATTGTTAGAAGCTCAAACTTTTTTAGCGGAATAAAATACTTACAAAGATAAAAATTCTTTATTTCCAGACAGTTAAAATAGAAAATTTTATGAATAAAATAGTATACAGAAAATAATTTGCCATCTCTCAACTCTTTCATTAATACTTTAGAATATTCATTTCAATCATCTCTTAATACATTCTCATCTTTCGATATTATAATCTTTATCAATTTAAATGGTAAAATAGAAAATATTATGAATAAATTTGTATATGAAAAATAATATATTATTCGAATTCATTCATTATTACTCCTGAATTTCTCAATATAACTTTAATGAATTTAATTCTTATACCTATCATATTATATTCTAATAAAAAAAAGTAAGGAAATTTAAAATAACGTTTTTTAGAAAGCACAAAGTAAGAGTCATCAAGAACGTCTTCGGCTGAAAAATATCGCTGTCGAGCGCAGAACGCCAGATTCCATCCATCCGGCGCGGCGCAGCGCGACGAAGTAATTTCGCAAATCTTTCTAGGTCGCGCGATATTAACGGACGACCGGGAAAACGAAATATCGCGGCCGAAATTCCTACGACTTGCACCGTCATCCCCGAGACACGTGTCGACTACTAGCGTCCGCTCATATGAAATCGAGGATTCACGGAAAAGCGTGGAAAACCCTCGCAGAAGGTTAACTCCTTAACGGTCGAAACGATTTTCTCATAATTAAAAGCGATGGTATGACTCAGCATACTCAATCATAGAGTAAATAAGTTTGTTGTGAATTTAAATTAGATACAAGCAGGGTCAATAATGATTTATTTCGGGTTCCCTAAATATCATTATGGAAAAACTGACCATTAATTTATTTGCGTCATTTGGCTAAACCCGAGGCATGTATCACGGCACGTTTTTCAGAATATTCTGTCATTCGATGTAAATGGATTGACACAACATTTTTAATAATTTCAATAATACTTAAATGAGCAAAAAAAAATTCTCATATAAGTTGAAATCGCAGTTTAATTATCAGAATGGCATTGTAAAATAACAAGCATTATATGTAATTAGTAAAGATAGACACGCGTTTATACGTCAAACGCTATTAAAAGGTTAAACTCTAGTAGAGCGACAGAATCGTAAATTCCGCGAAACGACGGTACATCCGGCCAAATTATACATCTCATAAAGTATTCCCGGCCGGTACCTCGAAGCCAGGCAGAAAGTATTTCGCATAATATCTTCTCGAATCACGGCGTCGAGGGTGAGAAGGAGTGAGTGGGATGGAAGCAGACGCCACCCTCCGTCGGTTCGCTCCGTTGGTTGTGCGCGAAGAAAGACCGAGGAGAAGGTGGAGGAGGAAAAAGCCCGGGCACGGTACCAACGAGGATAAAAAGAATAAATACGGCGAGGCATAGTTTGAAGGAAAGGGAGGAACGCCGAACGGTTCCGATACGCTGATATGGCGGAACGACGGTACGAAAAGAACGAAACAATATTTCAATATGCTAAAATCATCGAGCGTTTCCTCCGGCTGTACTTCTAGTAAGTAAAGCTTCCAACTCTGCCCCTTTGGTTCGCGCATCGTCGATACGAGGGTCCCTGTTAACGGGATGCACCATAGATTCGTAAGAATATATTATGCTTCGATGGAAAATGTCTCTGATTCTAACTGGTAGCTGTTAAATTTAATCGTATTTCGAACGAACAGTCATATTTCCTGGAAGGAAAAAATATCTAGACAGAAATTGAAAACTAAAAGATTTACCATGCAAATGTAATTGAAACAGATTTTCAGTACCGTCGATTGCATCATGTTAGCTAAAGAGGTATAGTATAATACGTAATCAGTAAAATATGATGATAGAAGTAAAAAATCCTATTTGAGGCTAAAAAGGATTTTACTCTGTTAAAAGGAACTTAACAATCTAGTTTCAACCTTTGACACAAATCTCCTAACACACTATGAAACTTATCAACTATTGGCATTAACCATGACAGATTACAATATTTATCACCGACCAGCATCAATGCCTATGTACAACCTCTCTGTCAAAAAGACAAACGTAAAGGGGTAATCTGCGTATCAACTCCGGGATCGGAACAGGCCATTCGTTATCGGATGCAACGCAATTCGTTCCAAAACATGGCTACAATAAAGGAGAGAGCAAGAGAGAGAAATGTTCGATTCGTAGAATAATACAATAATTCTTTCGTGGTCGGAAGTAGCGACGGACGTTCCAGGGCAGATGTAACGCTAGCTTGAAAGGAAGCGTGAGATCGAGATATCGAAATGGAGCGTTACATCGGGACCCGGTCCTATTTTCCTGACCGCGTAAACCACGGAGACCATATTCCTTTCTCGCGACGCAACGGCCCTTACCCTACCCGTTTCGATATCGTCAGTCTTTGGGGAGATAGCGGAATCGGATTCGCCGGACATGTCCGTCGGAGCGTAAAATCGAGTCGTATATTTCGAAATTTTTTGGTCACGGAACTCGCCGATCCAGCGCAGACATCTTGCGTCCTGCACCAACCTCTTATCCTGCTTCCTTCGTGATATATTACGTCCTTGGACGGAATAATTTAGTGTTGCAGTACAAACAGCTGCAATAGGTTGTTTTCCAGTGTCTGTTATAATTTCAGACAGGTTGACACAAGGAGTATTATACGGATTTTGACTTTAAAATGCGACTTGTATTAATAGAATAAAATATTTGACCTAAACGTGAAAAATAATGTACAGTAGAATATATGATTTCTACATTACACGAAAAAAATCTGATTCTCTCATTTTGAATTCTAGCTTGCAACTTCCAATACATAGCATATTGCGTACCGTGAATCCCGATTTATAATTTGCAAGTTTCGGTACATGGCGTACTGCATACCAGATGCAAATTTCAAACGGGGCAAATATTTTTGTAAACGTCAAATATAAAACGCGTATATGGCACGAACGGAAAGCAAACGTAGAGGAAAGAGACGGAGATCAAAGAGCGTCGGTCATTTGGCACTTTAATTTCGTGTTTACATGATACCATGCTTCCCAGACGGCACAGCGACAACCGTATACGGTTTCTGTATGTTCGGTATGAGTTTTGAAACATTGTAATAGGATTCCTCGTTACGACTCGTGTAGCATAAAGGACTTATGCGGATACTCTCACCTGACGTGGAAACAGGGATGAAAAGCTGCCGGATTATCCTGCGGCGAGAACTTCGGTAGAGTGCCGTGAAGGAGGGCGAGACGAACCACCAGCAGCACGCCGAACTATAAACAAAAGAAATCCCCATTAATAACTCTAAATACAAAACCAGCTTGTTAATTATGCTTTCGGTTGCTTAAAAATCTGCGTTTGCATCGAGACTTCTCGCGGTTGGATTAAGACACTTCAATGTTGATTAAAAAATTTGCCATTTAATCGTCATTACATACATTACTTCAATCTAATTATGAGTTATAATCATATAATAAATGACATTATACATTCATAATCGTACAATAATTCATACAAATTATGTATCAATACTAGAACTACCGACTTCATTTTTATTTATGTATGTATTTCTCCATTCGAAATCAGTTATTTTGGTTGGTTTGGTAGGACTGGTGTTAAATCATGCAATGAATGATACAATGTATAAACCATGAGCAGTTCCAATAAAATAGTGCTTCACATTTAACATTGACGTAATCAATTTTCACGTAATAATTTCATTAAAAGTTAGTATTCTTTAAACTTGACAATAGTGATACCTAAATATGCTAGCAAAAGTCTGAATAAAATTGTATTACAATCATTCGAATAAAATACATGAGATTTTCTATTATAATCTTTTAGTCGACGTGTTTTGCAAAGTGCATCTCGAAACGCGGATTTACATCATACGTATTCTACCAGAAATTGTAATATTTAATCTTTTCAATGAATTTTTCGGTTTCTTGCTAATAATACACCGTATGAAATTATATTCTTATTCCTTCAATATTTTTTACTAATATTTTGTTTTAATTGCTTGTTATTAATTAGTGTAAAGTTCCATCGTTAAATGTATTTATAAAATATAGATTTCATATTTACTTTTGATTAAGTCATTAATCCGAATCCCTTCCCCGATATTTGGCTTGAATAGTAGTAAAACGTGAAATTTCTACTCATCGCCGTTTATACGGCTCGAAAGATGAATGAGAATGAAACAAAAGGGATTCTAGATTGCGGAAGAGCCTCTTACTAGTCTTTTCTGGAGGAGGCTCTCTCGACTTGCGGCTCGATGAGCCGCTACACCGCTAGGAGCAATGAAAGCTTTCATTAGCTAGCATGGAAACGAAAAACAAGAAGAGGAGGTCGTAAGCTAACAATCTGACCCGGATATACAGTAAACACGGATTTAGTTGTTTCCTAATAATCACCTAGTCAAACTTCTGTTCTCATATGTTTGATAACACTACGTAACTTTAGATCTTCCTATATTCCTTACTTGTCAAAAATGTTAAAAAATCAGATGCTGAATTTAATAATGAAACCATTAATAAGTCCAATAAAGTTAAATTAATTTTTTACATGTTTATCAAACGATGCTTCGTTAATAGATGACAAATATAAAAATATGACAATACTATGGAAAATTGAATAATAATTTTTAACTTTATATACATATATTTGTTTTGAAAAATTAGATGAAAATACAAATATTATCAAGTAAATCTACTAGTGGACAATATTTTAAGGACGTCTATGGTCAAAAATAAGACGAAAATGAAGAGAGAGAAAATTGCGTTTGGGGCTTCGTTAATTAGTTATTAACATTTAAAAATTCGATGTTTTTGCCCCTAAAATTGACAATCAGACTTTACACAGCACACATTACACTCCTGCAGGAACCGTGCGTTCTTCTGTTAATTTCCGAACAATAACTTCTTTAGCCGTTATCCTGCGGCAAGTGCGTCACGTAGAGGATTAAAAAGCTTAAGAATTTATCGGAGTCATTCTGCGCTTAGTGTGTTTAGTGTGAATTGTGACTGTGTGTTTCGTGTCATGTGGACACTACGGACGGGATAATTTTGGTGCATGTGTACTCGTGTGGATATTTCATTTCGGTGCATAGAAAAAGGCATTTGCCCTCCTGACTCGAAAATGCCATAGAGCGAGTTTTGATGTGCTCTTGCGGATTGAGCGAGTGATTAGATTGAATGCCAGGATACATCGCTTTAAAATAATTTCCCATTTCCAGCACCCGCGGTAAGCCCACAAATTTCTTATAAGTACGGTCCTACTTACGGTTATCGACATGCATCGATCGGCGGTGATCAGCTGAGCGTATGCCGGAAACGTCCGTCGATGCAAGTCGGATTGTCAATTTTAGGGGCACAAACATCGAATTTTTAAATGTTAATAACTAATTAACGAAGCCCCAAACGCAATTTTCTCTCTCTTCATTTTCGTCTTATTTTTGACCATAGAACACGTCCTTAAAATATTGCCCACTAGTAGGTTTACACCCTGTATAATAATACTGAATTGATTAACGTAATTAATTAGAATAACGTTCATTCCTAAGCATACATTACATATTCATAAGAACATATTTCATAATCCCATAGAAATGTATCATCTGTGCACGTTTTGTAAACTCATTGACAACAATTTCACGTATGGATCTTTTGAAAAAATGTCAAAGCACAAGACCCGACACCTCGCAAGCAGAAACGTTCGCACAGCACAACGAATCCTCGCTTGCATTTCCTGTCACGTCACGCGCGACGCTCCTCTCCATCGTCGGGATGGAGACCACTCCTTCCTTATCCACCGACTTCACCGCGTAGACCGGCATCGAGTCCTTTCTCTTTCTGTCCACGCCAGGATCCCTCGATGTCCCGCGTTCTTGGACAGATAGAGGACGAGTGGTTTCTGAAAGGGTTCTACAACCCGGACCATGTCTGCCAGTCCAAGGTATTCATATTTCTCCTCGTACATACCCGTTCACAAGTCTTAGGATATTGTAAAATATAGCAGAATAAAATTCATGTGAACAGTCGTCTTGAAAATATTCAGGATTTATTATAGGATTTACTACATGAATTATTGTATTATACAAATTAGTATGTCGATGCTAGAAATTAATTCTATTGTTAACACTAAGATTACAACTTTAAGGTAGATACACGTAAATGTACGCGGCATGGCTTAAAAGCTCTGGTCGGCAATTGGCTATAAACAACGTATGTTTACAATTTATGATACTACGATTGCTTCATACGTGAACGTTAAAAAAGAGAGACTTTAGTAGTTTACATCTCACAGTTTATAGATTTGAAGCAAATAGTAGTAATTTTTTATTACGGTATAATCTATATTGTTGTCGTATATTTATAAAATATAGATCATCCAAAGCATGAACCGAAACAAATTTTGTATTGTCGATATGACTTGTAATAAATTTCTAGTGTCGATATGATTTGTTGTAATAAAGTTCTAGTGTCGATATGATTTATTATGAGATTTATTACATGATTAAAGTTCTACCATTTATTATAATCTTTCAGTTGAGACAGCCTCGGGGGTTATTAATCTGGAATATTTGTCAGATTTCCGGATAGACAACAAGGACTTGGAGACGTGCTGAAATTTATGAACTGAGATGTACATATGTATACATTATCGATACATGTATCGACGTGGAACACGACTTCCACGACTACGATGAAGAATATCAGGTTACGTTGTCTAGTTGCTGACCCACGCGATGAGAACGAAATAGAAATCCAATTTCGGTAAATATCCGATGGAGGCGAGACGCCTCCGCCGCGTCCTGCTGGACCACGTGTACGCCGGAAATTCTCACTTGTTAGTCTTCCGGGGTGCGCCCCAGGGCAGTATTATAACTCCCCTACGCATCTAGGAATATATTTCCCACGGGGAGGCTTGGCATTACGCATTTTTGTGTTGTACCATCACGATGAACGTTCTTTATTTTTTTATATCAAGGTACGATTTGATGATGAATATGGAAATGACTGAAAGCAAAATAAAGTACGAAACCTATCGAAGATGTATTTATTAATGATTATAAGCATTTTTGTTGGTATCATATGTTAATCTGCTAAAAAATTGTAAAGAAGCATAGAACAGAAAGATTATTATTATTTTTGAACAACTACTCACTAGAGAATATCTTCTTCTACTACATAGTCATTAATATTAACTAAGAAAAATAAAACAAAGACTAACCAATTTTGTATCTAAAATCTTTCAAACGCATCGTCAAGTTAGCGCTCGTGGGTCCTTCATTAAGCAGTCTGTCGCAATCTATTAATTAATCTCCCCGATTATTAATCAGATAAAGCAGATCACAGCCGCGTATTAGTTCGGCAGACAGAATTATAATTATGCGTCAGACTTGAGACAATTCGGGGAACGGATCACGCGGTAGAGAGGCTAAGATTTCACCGGCAAACCCGTCGGCTCACAATGCTGCGTAGTGATGTGGAATCAGTCAACAACATGTATGCCCTAATGCATTGACTTATCGATTACGCGCTGTACCATTGCCTATCGTCGCAATCGGAAGTAAATGCTGCTAGATAAGGACCAATAAGCGTGTGCATCTAGCGCGGAAGATGATTTACCTAATGAGTCACTAGAACAGAACTCTTTTTATAAACATGCGATTCAGTTTATAACGTAATAAACATGATATAATGAAAACCATCTATGTTGCATGAAACTGTATTTATGTACTTTTCATAGAGATGTGTGTAACTGTGTACTGTGTAACCTTATACATATCAGAATTTTTTTGATAAATAATTCAAATTGTAACATAACAGTTACAGAATCACATAAGACAAGAAAAATGACTGAAGTGGTAATCTGAATTCATATTGTATTAATTAAAACAGCACAACGTAATCTAGAGAAGTGTTTGGTTACTTCATTTCGTTCAGCTTGTAAAAAAAATTCAATCTTGTTGTTAGGGATAGGCAGCCCTAACGGGGTTCGGCCGGGAGAACGGGTATTAGAAAATAACGAATCAGAACTTAATAACAAAAACTTGGTTTATTCAAATGGTTCCTCGTGCTTGGTCTCCTATCGAACGAGGCTCTAGTATTCGAATAGGCCCGGGAATGCAAGTCTCGGCCGGATCCTTCCTTGAGTTTGCCTTTAGCGGCGGCGTCGTCGTCGTCCTCGATCCTCTATCGCACGATCTCTGTAAAAAGACAATTAAATTAATACTGGCTCACGTCAATTTCGAGAGCCACACGCTGAATCA